AAAACTTTTATATTTTTATAATAGAAAATTTATATGATTGAATTTTTTGCCTTTTTCTAAAAAGTACAATTAAAATAATTTTTTTTGGTAGAATTTTTTTTAAAGGTCGATATATCACAATGAATAACAAGTGATGCTATATAAGGAATCGCATATTAACTCTCGTATATATTGAATTTGATGCGTTACTCTCAACATGAATACTTTGAGCTTTATTGTGATTCTGAACAGTTTCTATGGCCATTCAGAATCTGTCACACGTATATTAAATTGTAAAACTGTAATTAGCAATTCAATATTTCAACAATATTCGCTACATTAAATTCAAATTTAACAATGACTCAATATATGTATATATATAGGAAATATAATAAAATATTGTCTGCATAAATGTAAATTGACTCAAATTTCTATCGCTCAATTGCCGTAATTAATCATACAAGACTAAAATAAACAAAACGCTACCGAAATTTTTATTATTCAATTTTATCAATACATTAAATATTTTTTAATTTAAATATATTTTTCGTAATTGAAAATTTTTCCACAATAGAAAAATGAGATAGTAATTAAATTAATTTTTAATTAAATTAAGGATTTTTACTTATAATAATTTTTGCCTATAAATAATTGCAACTAATCGTTAATCTCAAAGTTTTATTTATAATTAAAACTACCGACTGATGAAGTCAAAAAATTACAAAATAATTGCAATTATTTGTACACAAAAAATATTATAAAGAAAGTTCCCGGAATTTTGATTATTGTATTAATTTTCAATTTAAATATGTTTTTTGTAATTAAAAATTTTTTTGGAATAAAAATTTATTGGAATAAAAAAAAGTAATTAAATTATTACAATCTATAATGAAATGAAAAATTCTATAAATATTTGTAATTTGTATTTATAATTAGAATTATTTTTCATTATAAACAATTTTTAATTTTGTAATGGAAAAATTTAAAAGTGTAACAGATTTAAATTTTGCCTGACTAAAAAGGAAGTGCTTCACACTGCAAAAAAAAAAGTTTAACTAAAAACTAAAAGTTCCGATCGTAATGAAGCTGAATTCATTTAAAAATATTCCATTAAAGTGAAAAATAAATTTTCTTTTTCGAAAATCGAAATAAAAAGGGAATACGTAATCAAGCAAAAGTAATATATTAAAATTGAAAATTTTCTAATTGCTAAAACGTGTATTTAAAAGAATTAATTATTTATCAATGAAATAAACTCCATTTGTACATTTTTCCCTTTTTCAAAAGCAAAATGAGAATTATGAAAATTTAAACTAAATTTTTTTTTTGTGAAAAGATACTCGAGAATTTCGAAGTAAAAAATAAATAATTCAGTTATAACCTAATTTTCGATTGAAAATGAACTTTAAAAATAAAGTCAATAAACTCGATTAAAAGCAACTATATGTATATATATATATATATATATATATATGCGGATGAAGAAACTTCTTTTTGAAAACTCAAGCAACAAGTTTGCTTATATACTTGAAACAAAAACTAATTTCACCACTCTATTTTATTTTTTATCTACTTTCAACAACAAAAGAGGAAGAAAAAAAAACATCTTTCGAAAGCATTGAAGATAAAGTATTTTGTGTCTGTGTGTGGTCGCCGCATGATGTCATACTCTTAAAAGTTTATAGCAAAATGAGAAGAACCGTTCCTTGAATGGGCAAACGTTAGGAATAAATGAGCTTGGAAAAGTGGACGAAAGCTAAGGTGCTCGAGGGTAACAACAATTTTCTAAAAGAGGAAAAGAAACGATATGAGTGTAAAAAAAGGAAAGTGGAAACAAAATGACCGGACGTGAAAAGAAAGGAATATGGTGACGTCTTTAGAGTTTAACGAAAAAAAATAAAAAAAGAAAAGAAAAATTCTTGGCAATTTGTCGAGAAAATTACTCTTATCAAAGCCACTTTAATTTTTTTACAGCTCTTTTAATACTTTTTTGGTGGACAAAATATTTTCGATAAAAAAAGTAGTGAAAGAGAGAAAGAGAGAGAAATTGCAAATATTTTTAAAATAGGACAAAATATATTTTTGACATTTTTTGTTTCTTTGAAAATTAGAAAAAATTGTGGACAATTGATGTAGTTTTATCTTTTTGATTAAATAAATTATTTCCAATAATAAAAATTTATACTTTAGTTTCTTCAGTTTTTAAAAATTTTTTTCTATAACATTTTTATTTTTTTTATAAACCTTCAAAACACCTGAAAAAAATCAGGGGAATTTGTAAAATTTCAGTTTTAAATGAATTTAATTAGAAATATAAAAAAACTTAGATTTAAAAAAAATTTAGAAACTAAAATTCTTTTGAAATTAGTTGAATTTGTTAATATATATATATATATTTAATTGATTATTAAAAATAATTGATTTATAGAAGAATTTTAGTTAAAAACACTAAAGCAAATTAAATTTTGAAGCAATTATAAATAATTGCAGAAATGCAATTATTTTACAAAGTTGTAAAATTTTTCTTAAAAACTTTTCTCAATTCAATGATTTTTAATATCTACTACTTTAATAAAAATTCCTAAAAGAATTCAATTAGTTAAAAAAAATTTTAATAAAATTCTACGCAAAAAATTTGATTATTTTTATAAATAATAAAAATTTTACAGAAATTCAATTATTTACAAATTATTTTCATATATTATACAATTATTTTCATAAATAATTTTTTTCAAAATAATTTTAATAAAATTCTTTGCAGAAATCCAATTATGTTTAAAAATTTACAAAAATTCTCGTCAAAATTTTAATTATCTTTATAAATAATTAAATTGTTCTCCAAAATTTAATTATTTTTATTTTAAAAAATTTTAATAAAATCTTGGCTGAATTTCAATTATTTTTAATACAATTTTCATTAAATTTCTCGAAAAATGAAATTATTCTTAAAAATTGTATTAAAATTTATAAAAGAAATTCATTTATTTTAAAACCTTTACCTATATTTTCAATACATTTTTAATTAAATCATTTTCAAAAATTTTAATGAATTTCTTTGTAACAATTTAATTTCTTTCAAAATAATTTTAATAAATTTTGTCAAATTCAATTATTTTCTATGTCTACTATTTCAATAAAATTCCACAAATGAATTCAATTATTTAATAAGAAATTTTAATAAAATTCGTCTCAAGAATTCAATTATTTTCAAAAGTAATATAATTCTTCGCAAGAAGTTCAATTATGTTTAAAAATTTACAAGAATTCTCGTCAAAATTTCAATTATCTTTATAAATAATGAAATTTTTCTCCGAAATTTAATTATTTTCAAAAATTTTAATAAAATCTTGGCTGAATTTCAATTATTTTTAATACAATTTTCATCAAATTTCTCAAAGAATGAAATTATTCTTAAAAATTTTATTAAAATTTGTTGATAAAATTCATTATAAAAATTCAATTTTATGAAACATACGACTGTTTAATAAAAATATTTATTTTTGTAGTTAAATAATTGAATTCTCGTAGAATTTTCTAATAAATATTAATTTAAAAATGAACTTTAAATTAAAATCCTTGAAAATTTGAACTTTTCATACTTTTAATTAAGAATTCTGTAGAATTAATTTTTCTCAAAAAGTTTAATGGAATTTTTTTTAATTATTTGAAGATTTTAATTTTTAATATATTTAATTGAAGAATGTCAGAATTTATCGAAATTTCGTAAAATTAAAATTGTAAACAAAAGAATTTGAAAATTCTCAAAGAACTTTTTCAAAAATTATTTTTAAAAAATTGACTTTAAGAAGAATTTTAGTTGAAAATTCTAGAAATGAATAATCGTAATGATGAAAATAATTTTTGAAGAAGTTACAGTAACAAAGTAGCAAATTTTAATTATTATATATGTTATTGAATTTCAAATTTTTGAATATCTTAATTTCTATAAAAAAAATATTGATTAAATATTCATTTAAAAATGAAGTTTATGATGTTTTCGAATAATTTTCGTTTTAAATAGTAATAGTAATAATAGTAACAAAAATACTATTAGTACTATTAGTTTTTTTTTACCCAGAAAAATAAAATTAATAACGATGAAAAAACTAAAAAAATTGAAATGTATAAAATTAGGTTGAGAATCAACAGATAGAATATCTGTAAAAAATTACATTGTTCTTTTCCAAAAAAAAGTAAAATATCATTTTAATGAATTCTCGTTATTATTCATATTTTCCGCTATGGAAAAATATAAAAATTACATTATTTTATTCCAAAAAAAGTAAATTATTATTTCAATGATACTTTATTATTAATTTTTTTTTTGCAACAAAAAATGAGATTTAAAAATCAAGCATCAATCAACTTTATTGCACATTTTTTTCAAAGCCACAATGATAATGAAATATCCATAAATTTACAAGTATCGACCTAATTTCACAAGTGAGAAATTGATGAAGTCCATAATTTAATTACAGAATAGAGGTGCATTGCTTTTTCATTGTTTCTGTGTGTATATATCTATATATAAATAATTCACTCGCAAAATCTGAATAAAATTATTATATTTGCAATAGCATGATGACGTGAATAGCACACGACTTATTAATATTGCAATGTTTTCACAATATAAATACAATTTATTTAATATATAAGGTTGTATGATAATTTTATTTTGTTTGATTTATATTATTATCTTGCTTGCTTTATTAAAACAAAAGTGGAAAATTCACGTTTAATGTTTGAAACTAGTTTTGGATTATAATAGTTATTATTATTATTTATTGACATATTGTTAAATATTTTGTATATCCGACACACGGTAATGTGGAATAAATGGTAATTAATATTTTAATTTTATGTTCTATTATTATCATTAAATTTATTAACAAATTAATGAAATTTATTTTCAAATTTATGAAATTTATTTATTTAAAATTTATTATTGTCAAGAAAATGAGATTATCGTGTGAAATAATAGAGAGAAGAGGACATAAATTATTAAAATGAAAGAAACTCACCTACAACGGTGGCGAGGATCAAAATTCCTAATACGGCAGCGGTAAGAATTGCAGTGACGTCACCGAATGGTGCGCCTGGCACGAAGGAAGCATTTAATGTGATATTGGCCTCCATGACCTTCAATATTGAAGATTACCGATCGATTATCGACAATTTTCTCTCACATCTCACATCAATTATTATTAATCTATATCGAACATTTTTTCTGATCTTTCGATCACTATAAACCTCGTCCATCTTGCGATATTTTAAATCGCAATTTATTTTCTTCTTTAAATTCATTAAAATTTTTTTATTAATATATATATGCATATACATATATATATGTTATCAACAGATTTAATTTTTATTTATATACAATAATATTTTTATAATAGTTATCGTTTTTTTTCTTCTTCGCTGTTTTTTTCTACATTTTTCTTTTCTATTTATATTTCAATTTAATTTTGAAATTCCAAGTTTATTAGAAGTATTATTATTATTATTATTTGCCCATGGTGATTTATTAATTGTGATGTGAAGAATTTGAAAATTTCCTTGATTCACATTGTTCTGATGGTTGATGTCGCCTATGTTGATAGTGGGCAGACCTTCGGAAATCGATGAATGCTCGTGTGTCAACATTTGCCGGGAATCAGTCTCTCGCAGCTTCTGAAAATGACAATTTATCATTTTTTTTTTCATTCCCTCACGTTGCTGAATACAAACGATATATTTAATTGGGAAACACGACAGTCAAGAATTTAATTTGTCTTTGCATTTGGCGGTCATGATTTGACTATAAAATAGGTCTTTGCATTTTTTTTTTTTTCATTTTTTGAAGGGGCGGGGTAAGCACTTTCTGAATATATATTTACAAATCTGCATAAAACAGTAGTGGAAATTAATTTCAGTCAGACAGAGTCTAAATACTTATTGATACACACTCTCAGTAGTCTAGTATTTGTTTTAGTCAGACATGTTATTGTTTAAATTATTATTGTCAATAGTAAAAGGAAACAAAATATTGAAAAAATTCTTTCAAACTTTTTAAGTTTCAAAAAAACTTAAAAGAAAATATATTTTATAAAAGTTCAAAAAGTTGACAAAAAATATTGAGGAATAAAAAATACATTTAGGTAGAAAAAATAGTTTTAATTTTCGTCTCATTAATACCAGTAGTATAAGTAATTTATTGTCAGACTGTAATTTCAGTTTTCGTACTTGGATTAGAAAAATGAGTTTTAGTCAGAAAAAAGGGTTCTTATTTTTAAAATTGTTTTCTGAAACATTCTTAAAATTATAAATATTCTTCGATAATTTCCAATTCAGTAGTAAAAAATAACTTTAGTCAGACAAAAGCGATTTTACTTTCAAAATTGCTTCAAACAGTTTGAAAAAAGTTAAGAAACGTAAGTAAACTCAGATAATTTTCATTTCAGTAACTACTATTTTCTACTAGTAGAAAATAGTTTAAGTCAGGCAAAAGAGTTTTTATTAAATTATTTAAAAAATATTGCATTTCAGTATTTGAAGCAAATATCAATTGAACCATTTAATTGACTCCAATAAATATTATTTGATTCAATTAAATATTTAATTGATAATAGTGAATTAATCGGTTATTTGAATGAAATAAATTTTTTTTCAGTGTACAAACATTCTTAAAAAACTTAAAATTAAGTAGTAAAAATTAGTTCTAGTCAGACAAAGGGGTTTTTATTTTCAAAATTGTCTAAAACATTCCTAAAATTCTGATTATTTTTATTTTAGTAGTAAAAAATAGTTTTAGTCTGTCAAAAGAGTTCTTATTTTCAAAATTGCCTAAAACATTCTTAAAATTCTGATTATTTCAATTTAAGTAGTAAAAAATATGTTTAGTCAGACAAAAAGTATTTATTTTCATTATTGATTCAAATATTCTGAAAATATTCTAAATTGTCTAAAATATTCTTAAAATTCTAATTATTTTATTTCAGTAGTAAAAAATAGTTTTAATCAGGCAAAGGAATTTTAATTTAAAAATTACTTAAAACGTTCTTAAAAAGCTTAAAATTCAGTAGAAAAAATGGTTTTAGACAGACAAAGGGGGGTTTTATTTTCAAAATTATCTAAAATATTCCTAAAATTCTGATTATTTCATTTCAGTAGTAAAAAATAGTTTTAGTCAGACAAAGGGGTTTTTATTTTTAAAATTACCTAAAATATTCTTAAAATTCTGATTATTTCATTTCAGTAGTAAAAAATAGTTTTAGTCAGACAATGGGGTTTTCATTTTCGAAATATTGATAAAATTCTGACTATTTTCCTTTCAGTAGTAAAGAATAGTTTTAGTCAGACAAAGGGGTTTTTATTTTCAAAATTACCTAAAAAAATTCTTAAAACTCTGATTATTTTATAATTTTAGTAGTAAAAAATATGTTTAGTCAGACAAAAAGTATTTATTTTCATAATTAATTTAAATATTCTGAAAATTTTTTAAATTGAGTAGTAACAAATAGTTTTAGTCAGACAAAAGGGTTTTTTTAAAATTGTTTAAAATATTTCTAAAAGTAATTAAATTATTAAGATTTTCATATTTTCTTTTTTAGTAGACAGAGTCCTAATACTTTCTTAGTAGTTCAGTTTTTGTTTTAGTCAGACAATATTTTTCTCGAAATTCTTTTCTGTCAGAAGTAGAAGTAAACAAAAATTTTCAGTAAGAAAAAAGTTTATTACCGTCAAGCAAAGTGTTAATTAATAATTTTTCTCCACATATTCCAAATGTTATAATAAAGAGCCAATTAAGAAAGTATAATATTTTTTTAAAAAACATATTTTTAAGAAGGAAAGAAAAAAAATAAAATAAGAAGCAAAGAATTATCCGAGAAAAAGTTTTTTCGGTATCTAAGCTTCTCGGTTGTCAGTTTTGGTATTAGAGATAACATGCGGAACTCTTCTCAGTAGAACAGTTTCGTTTATTGTCAGGCACTATAGATACTGAATTCTTTTCAGTACAATAGCTCCTTTTATGTCAGACACCGCTTGAGAAATTCTTTCCAGTAGATTATTTCTGCTTTAGTCAGACACACATTCTCATTCAGAAGATATTATATATTTTTTTGTGTTACTAAAGTGCGACATAATAATTTATTTCAGAAATAAAGTATTAATATAATAATTTTCAATTAAAATGTTTATTTTAAATTATTTAAAAACAAGGAAAAAAGATGAAATATTTTCCCTGAATTATTTAAAGAAAAAAAAAAATATTTTCTTCGTGACATTTTTTTTGTACGACTTACAAGTATTTTTAGAATAAAATATTTGCATTTTTGGTCCAAGCCACACCAGTTAAGGCTTTATTTTCATCTCAGTGGAATGATTCTATTTTATCAGACCGCCGGGCCACGATATGCTCTTTCAGTGAAATAGTTCCACTTAGTCGGACACAACTTGAGAAATTATTTTCAGTAGAATAGTTTCTGTTTCGTTAGAAGACCAAGTGAATATTACAATTGGCTTTTTCTTTTTTTTTTGGAAATATTAAGACAAAAAATGGCAATAAAATTTTGTAACAAAAATTCTCATTTGAAAGAATGGAAAATACTAAATTTCAATTAAAAAAAAGAAAGAGAAATTAAAAGGACTGACTCTTGTCTGACTGCAACTGACTTATACTACTTGCACACAAGAAAAATGTGTCTGGCAAATACTGTTACAAAAAATTTAATAAACTACTTTTTTTTACTCAAACTAATTAAGTTACATATAAGTTTTCGGACAAAAATTCGGTTATTAATAAAGTCCAAATTTTAAAAAAATTCAAGATAGAATTAGACTATTAAGTACCTATATTCAAGAATTAAAAACATTTTTCTGACTATAAAAATTTTTTACTTTTTAGTTCAAAATTATATGAGAATGAAAAAAAATTAAATTCCTTAACTGACAGAATATAATTTTAGTTGAAAATTTCTTGTATTTTATTAAATCAAATAGTAAAAGTCAATAATTTAGTCAGACTACTGTTCCCAAAAAATTTAAAAGCTACAAATTTTTTTTCTGAGTCATAAATTTAGAAATTTAGAATTTTATTTTATGTTGATAATTAAATGTAAAAAATAAATGGAATGCTTAAACTTAATTTTTACTGTTAACGTTAAACAAATTAGTCTAATCAATACTGACTTTTGCTACTTAATGAAAAAGTAGACAAATTTTAATTGAATTTCAAATTTTCTGGGTGATTAATCATTAAATATAAAAAAAGTGTTTAATTAAAACTAATTTTCTTCTAGTGACAAAAAAATTTAGGCTGTCTGTTAACTTTCAATGCTGATATAAAAAATCCCAAAATATTTGACAATTTTAAATTTAATTTGTTGTTTTCAACTGAGATTTAAAATAAAAAAATATTAAATGAAATTATTTTTAACTGTTGTTACTGAAAAAAATAATAATTGTCTTATTATGTCTGATTAATACTGACTATTACTACTGACATCGAAAGAATTACATAAATATAAAAAATTAAAAATTTTGAATTTAAATTCTGTTTTGCCGAGTTTAATAATAAAAAATTTAATGAAAGTAATTTTTATTGTTGTTACTGAAATAATATTTTTGTTTTATTGCCGTTGACATTCTTTACTGATTTCACAAACAGTTTTGATGCGACAAAGGGATATGTGTTTTCAAAATTGTTTAAAACTTTCTTAAAATTCTTAAAATTCTGATAATTCTCATTTCAGTAGTAAAAAATTAATTTAGTGAGTCAAAACTTTTTCATTTTCAAAATTATTTGAAACTTTCTTAGAACGAACAAAATTGAATAGTAAAAATAGTTTTAGTCCGTCAAAGTGGTTTTTATTTTCAAAATTGTCTAAAATATTTTTAAAATTCTGATTTTTTCATTTCAGTAGTAAAAAATAGTTTTAATCAGGCATAGAAATTTTAATTTGAAAATTACTTGAAACTTTCTCAAAAAGCTTAAAATTCAGTAGTAAAAATATTTTTAAACAGACAATGGAGATTTTATTTTCAAAATTGACTAAAACATTCTCAAAATTCTGATTTATTTCATTTTAGTAGTAAAAAAATGGTTTTAGTGAGACAAAGGATTTTTATTTTCAAAATTTTTTAAAATATTCTTAAAATTATGATTATTTTAATTTCAGTAGTAAAAAATGTGTTTAGTCAGGCATACATTTTTTATTTACAAAATTGCTTGAAACGTTCTTTAAACGCTTAAAATGAAGTAGTAAAAAGTAGTTTTAGTCAGACAAAGGAATTTTTATTTTTTAAATTGTCTAGAACATTCTTAAAATTCTGATTATTTAATTTCAGTAGTAAAAAATAGTTTAAATCAGACAGAGGAATTTTAATTTTAAAATTGCTTGAAACGATCTTA